CAGCCACGACAGTGCAACTAAAGACATGAAAGAGGACTTCCAGAACTGCTTTAGAAAGTGGCAAGAACGATGGGATAAGTGTGTTCAAAGCAAGGGGTATGTGTGTGTGTGTGTGGGGGGGGTATTTTGAGGGGGATTAATGGCAATGTGTCTTACTGTAATTTTTATTTAAACATTGACTATTGTTTGATTACACCTCATATGTCTTGCTGAAATAGACACCCATAATTACAATTGTAAATTTCAACATATCTCTATCTCAAAATAATTAGTAGACAAAGCAGACAAAAAGCTAGGATATAAAAGATAAACAGTAGTATAATCCAACTTGAACTGCTGGACTTCTATAGAGTACTCCATGCAACCGAGGATGAATAAGTGTTCTTTAGAAGTGCACATGAAACATTACTAAGATGTACCATCTAGGGACACAAGACAAATTCCAATGACTAAATGGATTCAGAGCATAAAGTATATTTTCTTGTCACAATGGAATAAATTATAAATCACTTTCAGAAATATATATGGAAAATTGCAAATCGATAACTAAATGACACACTTCTAAATAACCCATGAGTAAAAGAGGAAAACAAAATATTTTAAACTGAATGAAAATGAAAATTTCAAAAATTGTAGAATGTAGCTAAAGCAATATGTAGGGAAATTTATAGCCCTAAATATTAAGAAGATTTCAAATCACAGACACACCAGGGCCAAGCATGCACAACAAGATGATTTTCCTCAAGTTTTTTGTGAAGAGGCAGAGAGCGGGGCCTCAGGAGAAACCAACCCTATTAGCATCTTGATCTTGGACTTCCAGCCTTCAGGATTGTGAGCAAATAAATTTCTGTTGTTTAAGGCATCTGGTGTGGTATTTTGGCAGCTCAAGCAGATGAATATATAGATACAAATTACCATAGAAATAATAGATACCCTCTATAGCCTCTATCAAAGAAATTGAATTCATAGCTTAAAACTGTTCCGTAAAGAAAACTTCAGGCCTAGATGGTTTTTCTGATGAGTTTCTACCAAATGTATTCTCAAAATTGAAAAGGAAAGAATTAATCCTATGAGGCCAGCATTACCCTGCTATCAAACCTGGAGTAATAACAAGAAAACATCAATTACCCTCATGAACACAAATGCAAAAATTCTTAACAAAATTGTAGCAAATACAACAATGTATAAGAAGAATAAAATATATATACTGGGCCCAACATAGGCACATCTAAATATATAAACCAAATATTAACAGAACTAACGGGAGGAATAGTTAGCAATACAATAATAGTGGGGGACAGCAATACCTGAACTTATATTGATGGGTAGGTCATCCAGACAGAAAATCAACAAGGAAACATTGGTCTCTAATGATATGTTAGATTAGATGGACTTAGCGTATATAAAGAATATTCCATCTCAAAACAGCAGAATACACATTCAAGTGCACCTGGTACATTCTCCACGATGGATCATATATTAAACCACAAAACAAGTCTCAATAAATCTAAGAAAATTGAAATAATATAAAGCACCTTTCATAGCACATTGCTATGAAACTAGAAATCAATTAAAGAAAACAAACATTTATAAATATGTAGAGATTAAACAGCATGCTACTGAACAACCAATAGGTGAACGAAGAAAGAAAAAAGTGCTTTGACACAAATGAAAATGGAAATACAACATACCAAAATTTATGGGATGCAACAAAAGTGGTCTAAGAAGGAAGTTCATATTGATAAATGCCTACCTTAACTCTTTCATCGCATTAATTGATTTCAAGTTCTTTTTTCAAAATGTGCCAGAAATCCATAAAAAGACAAAAAGTTGATATTTTGACTATTTTATGCATTTAAAAACAAGTTGAGCTGCTTTGTATATAAATTACATTATTTTATGTATAAAATTTTCCCATTGTTATTCATTCTTGAAAAACACAAAAATATAGGAAAATGTATATCTGCTTTCCTAAAGTTCCTTCCTGGAAGTTTCTATCCACAGTCGGCAGATGGAAATACTTATTCGGATATATCCTACTGTCATGGCAAAAGGTTTAGGAAATGAGAAAATCTGAACCCAGCTTTACACTAAGTACCACAAGGAACTAGAAAAAGAGGAACAAATGAAGTTCAAAGTTAGTAGAAGGAAGAAAATAAAGATCTGAGTGGAAATAAATGAAATAGAGACCAAAAGACAATAGAAAAGATCAATGAAACTAAGAGCTGTTTCTTTGAAAAGATACACAAAACTGACTACCTACCGTGTTTCCCCGAAAATAAGACTGGGCCTTACATTAATTTTTGCTCCAACAATCTACATTTATTCATTTATTCATGTACAAAATCTACATTTATTCTAACAGTCATGCCTGGCTGACGATTTTAACTGGGGCTTATGTTTGAGGTAGGGCTTATATTAACGAGCATCCTGAAAAATCATGCTAGGGCTTATTTTCTGGTTAGGTTTTATTTTTGGGAAAACACAGTAGACTCACCAAGAAAAGAGAGGGATCAAATAAAATCAGAAATGAAAGAGGAGACATTACAACTGATACCAGAGAAATAAAAAGGATCATAAAAGATTACTGTGAATAGTTATACACCAACAGTTTGGACAACCTAGAAGAAATGAATAAATTCCTAGAAGCATACAACTTTTTAAGACTGAATCATGAAGAAACAAAAACTATCTGAGGGCCGGCCGAGTGGCGCATTGGTTAAGAGTTGGCTCAGGAATTCCAGCTCTGAGCAGCAGGCCCTGGTTCAGATCCCACATATGAGGGTCAGTAACACTGCCCTCTACAGCTAAGATGGTGAACAACAGCTCAACCTGGAGTTGGGTTGCTGTGAGTCACCGGCGACAGCGTAGGCTGCAGCCTCATAAGCTACCGTGAGTGGCCGGCAGCCGGTGTGAACTGCCAAGAGCCGCTGTGAGCGGCGGTCCGGTGGCTGGCGAGTAATCTGTCTCAGCCAGGAAGAGCTCAATGATAATACCAACATGGGCCAGTGAAGCAACGTCCTCCACAACTAGACTGAAGAACAAAAGGACAGCAATTTGTCTGTTCCCCTTCCCCTGATTCCCCAGCGCTGTTCCCCTCCCCCAATTCCCCAGTAAAAATCTTAATAAGAAAAAAAAAAACTTTCTGAAAAGACCAATTACTGGTAGGGAGATTGAATATAATCAGAAAACTCCCCAAAAAACGAAAGTTCAGGATCAAATGGCTTCACAGGTGAATTCTACCAAATATTTAAAGAATTGATATCTATCCTTCTCAAAGTATTCCAAAAATTAGAAGAGAAAGAAACACTTCCAAACTCATTTTACAAGGCCAGCATGACCCTGATACCAAAATTAGACAAGGACACCACAAGAACAGAAAATTACAGCCCGATATCTCTGATGAATGTAAATGCAAATAGCCTCAAAAATATTAGCAAACTAAATTCAACAATTCATATTTAGAAAAATCATACATCACGATCAAGTAGGATTTATTCCAGGAATGCAAGAATTGTTCAGCATCCCCAAATCAATCATTTAGATACACCACCTTAACAAAATGAATGATAAAAATCATGAGTATCTCAATAGATGCAGTAAAAGTATTTGACAAAAGTTTAACATCCATTTATGATAAAACTCTTCAGACACACAGACCTCAGGTCTGATTTCAGAACACATTGAATTCTTGCTTTGAGCTCTTTGTCCCTCCTATTTCCTGTTCCTTTTAGACTTCCTCTCAAACCTTCCTTCAGAGGGGCCTTCTCTGATTGTTCATTCTAAATTAGTCCCTCACAATGAGTTTCTATCAAGTCATGTGACCTTATTTTGATAGCAGTGACCACTATTTAGATTAGTTTGTTCATTTCCCTGTGTACTTTGTTGTCTGTCAGCCCTGCGCCCACTAAAATTATAACTCCATGAATGCAGTCCTTGATTATGAGTTAATACAGGTAGAACAGTTGATTTCTGGCTATTATAATGCAGCTCACCACTGTAATCCAGTACCTGGGGCATTGCTCTGGACCATACTAGGCACTAGCTAAATATTTGCTTAAAGAGTGCTGAATGTCACACAGTAAATGTTGAATATCAAAAGCATCGAATGATATATGCCAAATCAATACGCTTTTGTTATCTTTTCAACTTAAGACTTAGGAATGTCTTAATCTAAATATTGTATTATTAGAAGATAAATAACAGTAAAATAATGAAGAATATTATTTTTGTAACCTCAGGGTAGGGAACAGAGAGGTTTTCCTTACATACTTGTCTCCTAACACACCTTCCATGCACATTCTAAATATATGCATGCGAATTTGTATATTTGTGTTTCTAGATAGCAAATAGATTCTAGCTAGCTAGCTGTTCTTTTTTCTTCTTTTACCAAATCAATAGCAAGAGCTGGGTCAGTGAGTCCAAGATTCACCAACTGCATTGTCATAGAAGTGTGTTGCATTGGATCTCCAAGTTTTGTGTCATCCCAGTCCTGTTGTGCCAGGGTTCTGAGATCCGAAATGTCATTTTACAATTAAAAACTAATGTCTTGGGCCAGCCGAGTGGCGCGTTGGTTAGGAGTTGGCTTGGGACGCCAGCTCTGAGCAGCAGGGCCCTGGTTCAGATCCCACATGAGGGACAGTGACACTGCCCTCTACAGCTAAGATGGTGAACAACAGCTCGACCTGGAGCTGGGCTGCTGTGAGTCGCCGGTGACGGCATAGGCTGCAGTGGGGCTGGCAGGCAGCAGGTGTGAGCTTTCATGAGCTGCCAAGGCTGCCATGAGCATCCAGGCGAGCGATTTCCTCACCTGGGAAGAGCGCAATGATAATACCAACATGGGCCAGTGAAGCAACGTCCTCCACAACTAGACTGAAGAACAAAAGGACAGCAACTTGTCTGTTCTCTTTCCCTGATTCCCCAGCACTGTTCCCCTCCCCCAATTCCCCAATAAAATCTTAAACAAAAAAAAGTAATGTCTTCTCACATCTGTCTTTCAGTATGCACAGATTTTAAGAGAAAGACTGAAGGAGTCATCTCATGAAGTTCAGTATATAGAGCCTCCGTTTGATGATTCGATTACTGATATAGGAAAAGAATGGAAGAGTACCCTAGCTAAATTACGGTTTGCAAATTCATATAGAATGGAGCCACTGAAAAAATTCCAAGCTTATTCAGTGGAGACAAAAGTCCAGCAGATACTAAAGGTAGGTTGATAGATATGTAATGATAGCAATATCTTAGCTTTGGGGGGTATATAAACTATATGCAGATTTATGGCAGTGTAATTACCCTGGTTGACTTTTTATTGCATTTGCCTCAGAAAATATGAAAGTACTTTGTAGTTGGACTCAATCTTCACATTGATGCTATAAGCTGAATTAAAGGGAATCTTTTTTTATTTCATTCAGCTCTTAATAGTCCATAAATCATTTATCCCTCAGGTTTCATATTTCTCTCACAATTGGAGGAATGAATAGAAAAGAACATGTTGACTATGTATATATGTGTGAACATTGGTTCTGACTATGCGAAAACAGCTTAAGGATAGGCAACCCCAGCTTAGACATAGGTTGTTTTCTTCTTTAAACAGATGGGAATGTCAAGTTCACTTAAGACAGTTGTTTGAAGCTCAGACACATGTTTTCAGACTGGCTTTAAAAAGTTTCTTCAATTTAACAAAACTAACACTGCAATACTAATATTAACGTCAATATTATTTATACTAGTTTTGGTATCTAGTATACTAGTTTGGGGAAGTCTACACTGTTCATATGGAAAGAATTCCTTTCACCATCCTTTCTGATAAAGACCACATTGCAATTTTCATTTTATTACAGAAAGTTTGTTTGAGGGACCACATTTTCTGAATCCCCTTTTCATCTTTGGCCTTTAGTTCTGGGCACCAGGTACCCAGGTGACTTCTAATGACCAGATTCCTTTTGAGGCGCTCCGCCCAGCCTGATCCCACCCCAGAGGTGTTCCATTTGTGATGTGAGACTATGCATTTTGATGTGTCTCACTCAGCCCCACCGCACAGGCTGAGTTCAAATATATTGAATATAGTAGGATTTCAGATTGTATTTATATAGAGTTTCACTGGGCAGGATGGGGCCTGGAACAGCTTGTTGGATGTGGAGGTGGATGGCTGGAGATTTCCCCTTGGGGTCAGGGAACCGTGAACACAGCTCTAGACACAGAGACAGTGGATATTGATGGGGCTTAGGGTACCTCCCTCTAGGAAGTGCTCATTATTTATTTAAAAGGAGCCCTTAGCATTGTAATAGATATGTATGATATGGGGGGCGGGAGAGAGGGAGTGGGGTGGCTGATTGGGGGAGGGGGTTGTCACTTTGAGGGTTAAAAAGTATATTGCACTGTGTTGTACACCTGAAACTAATTTTTAAAATTAAAAAAAAAAGAGCCCTTAGCTAGATAAAGCCTGATATGTTAGGCAGAGTCAGAAGAGAATGGATGTGCCAAATATCCAAAAGATAAAGCCACAGCCAAACTCCTGAGGGGAGTAAATGCTTCCAGGCCCAATTTTAGAAACATTCTGGAAGGGAACCAAAACCCAAAGGTGGCAATTCCTTTGGTTTTACATGCCTGTAAAATAACTGGTTGGAGTCCATTTGTTGTCACTAGAGCGCAGCACGTCGGTTAATTTATCATGGGTCCACGCCAGTTAATCAAAGGCACGCGCTGTCCGCTCACCCAGGTTGGCGGTGGTTTGTAGGAAAGTGCAGTACACCCACACCTAACTCCCCCAGCTGTACGTTAGCTCATTAACAAACACGATGAGAAACCTTTGATTTCCTTGGCATTCTCCTGGAGGACACAGATAAAAAGCACTCGAGTGGGGCCGGCCGAGTGGCGCGATGGTTGAGAACTCGCTTGGGACGCCAGAGGGCCCCGGTTCAGATCCCACATGTGAGGGCCAGTGACGCTGCCCTCCGCAGCTAAGATGCTGAACAACAGCTCAACCTGGAGCTGGGCTGCCATGAGTCGCCGGCGACAGCGTGGGCTGCAGCCTCTGTGGCAGTGGGTTGCCAGGGGCTGCCGTGTGTGGCCAGCAGCCAGCGTGAGCGGCCAGCAGCCGCAGTGAGCGGCCGTCCAGAGGCCGGCGACTGATGTGCCTCACCAGAGAAGAGCGCAATGATGGTGCCAACTTGGGCCAGTGAAGCAATGTCCTCCACAACTAGATTGAAGAACAAAACGACAGCAACTTGTCTGTTCCCCGTTCCCCAATTCCCCAGCACTGTTCCCATCCCCCAATTCCCCAATAAAAATCTTTAAAAAAAAAAAAAAGCACTCGAGTGGGAAGCCATAGGGAGAGTGTAGAAAGAAGTGGGCTTTGATTCGAGGAGGCTGAGGAAGAGAGGAACCACAGGCTGCAGGCTCTGGGCCCCAGGAACCCTGGCTTTAGGGAAACCCACATCGGAATCTTAGCCAATACGTAGATTTTAAAAAGATTTATTTCTTCTACCTAAGGAGTCCCAGAAGCTTTCTTTTAAAATGCCCCTTGTGGGGCCGGCCGAGTGGCGCAATGGTTAAGTGTTGGCTTGGGACACCAGCTCTGAGCAGCAGGGCCCCGGTTCGGATCCCACATGAGGGCCAGTGAAGCTGCGCCCTCTACAGCGAAGATGGTGAACAACAGCTCAACCTGGAGCTGGGCTGCCGTGAGACACCGGCAATGGCATAGGCTGCAGTGGGGCTGGCCAGCAGCGGGTGTGAGCTGCTGTGAGCTGCTGTCAGCGGCCGTCCAATGGCCGGCGAGTGACTGCCTCACCCGGGAAGAGCGTCATGATAATACCAACATGGGCCAGTGAAGTGATGTCCTCCACAACTAGACTGAAGAACAAAAGGACAGCAATTTGTCTGTTCCCCTTCCCCCGATTCCCCAGTGCTGTTCCCCTCCCCCAATTCCCCAATAAAATCTTAAAAAATAATAATAAAATAAAATACCCCTCGTGTCTCCCTAATAACCATTTGATAGAGTAATCTAAAAAAGGGAAACTTATAGCTTAAGAGTTGGTAACAAAGAGTAGTTGAACATAATCTAGAAACCAAAGTAAATTTTCTTCAAAATTGTTATTGAATTAATTTAATGTTATCTGGTTAGGAATATATGTATTTTTAAAAAAAGTTATATGTATTATTTAGACACATGTTTTCTACTTGAATTTTTATTTAGAAAATATTTGGTTTGAAAATTAAAATATTTTTCTTAATTTTTTTAAGGAAAGTCTGAAAGATGTCAAATATGATGAAAAAGTCTTCTCTCATTTGTCACTTGAATTAGCAGACCGCATATTGTTAGCAGTCAAAGAATTTGGGTACTACCGTTATAAGTTCATTATAAAAGTATTATTTATTCAAAAGACTGGTCAGGCAATAAACGTAAGTACCCCACCAATCCAGCATCTATCTATCAATTAGAACTGTAAGGTGTCTCCTCTCTAAGGATTTTGCATTTACTGTGATGTCTCCAAGGCATTTCAAGACCTTGTGGTCCCTCTAGAACAGGGGTCAGCAAACTGCGGCTTGCGAGCTACATGTGGCACTTTGGGTACATACATGTGGCTCTGAAGTAAAATTGAAAATGAAAATAAAACTATCATAGTTTCATTTATAAAATTTTTAAAGGAAATTATTCACATAATGGTTATTTCATGTTTTTTATGGCTCTCAAATACTTTTTAAATTGTTGCGAAGGACTGGATTGGCTCTTTCGTCTCAAAAGTTTGCCGACCCCTGCTCTAGAATGAAAGGATAGTTTTGTTAAATATATATACTAACCTAGAAATGAAATTTTTCTAGTAATAACTTATTTAATTGTATAGGTAGCTATCCCTTGATCATACCAGTTTTGACAATTTAGTGGCATTTAATAATTAACTAGTAAATTTATTTTAGTCACTAATGGGTGGTAGGTACTGAGGAAATTACAGAGAATTCTACGACATGGACCATGATTCTCAAGGAGTTTTTACTCTAGTCAAGGAAATAAAGCAACACAGTTTAGAGTTTAAGAAAACAAAATAATGCTATGGTCTAACGGCCTGGGTTTAGCAGTCTCATTGGCCTAGATGTCAGTCCAGGCAGCAGCTCTCAGTGCCGTGGCCAGGGCTTTGTTTTGCTTCTGTAAAATGGGGATGAGAAAACCTTCTTGCTCGAGTTGTGAGGACTCAGTGAGGTCGTCGGTATTAAAGTCCTTAACATAGTCTCCAGCACAGAGCCCTCAATAAAGATTATTGTTATTGTTTTATTTTTTTACATGGGTAGATACAATTTCCAAAAGTAAATTGAGCATTTAATCTATGCACTATTATTGTATATAAATTACAACTCAGTTTAAAAAAAAGAAACAAAAACATGAAGAGATTTAGGTAAGTAAGGATGGTCAGGTATATTGTCAGCTTGGTCGTACTATTCTACCCTTGTCTGATGGGCTTCATCCAGTGAAAGATGCATCTGAAGATGCTCGGGGTTCTGAATTTGGGCTCTGAGGAATGACCTGTCACTCACATTACAGAGCAGCATGGAGGTGGGGGGTGGGTGTCAGTATATGATAAGTTACACCCCTAATCTCAGAAAATCCAAAGAATAGTTCATAGGTCGCGCTTTAGGAAGAAATGAAGAGGGTGTAGAAACTGTTATCCGGCAGGCAGTTTTGAAATCAACTGTGGGGATAAAGTGAGGATTTGAGTACAGAAAGGCAATATTTTGAGGTTCCTGAGGGAACTAAGAAGCTAAATTCACCCACTTACTTGGTAAGAGATATTCAAGCCGGAAACAGCTTTTCTACTTGAATGGCACTGCTATCCCTGAATATTACATCTGGAGGGCGACTGCCAGGACTTGGTTTAGGACAAGAAAGGAAATGAGACGCTATTATAATATGATTTAGCCACCACTGGAGTGAAACCTCCTTCACAAATCTCCAGTAACCTCTTAATTGCAAAATCCAGTTTTCAGTCCCCGTTTTACTTGACCTCTCTCTGTGTCAACATGGCCGAACACTCCTTGAAGTTCTGCCATCTTTGGCTTTCGGAATAATGGTCCCGCGTTTCCTCCCGTCTCTGAGAACCCCGTTTTGTTCTCAGAAGTCACTGCTTGTCTTCTGCCTGCCACCTACATGCTGGCATTCCCTGGGGTTCATGTCAATGCTGTTGCTATTTCCCAAACTCATCCAGCCATTTGATACCCTGTATCGTGCACGTGTTTCTCCCTGTGCCTGTAATGATCCTGTTTCCTTTTCCGCTTGGCTCGAACCTCCTTACACACATCGACTTACCTGTTCTTGACAGATCAGTCATTGTCTCCTCTGTTCTTGTGACACTTTGTTTTTAACCTCTATTCTAGTATCTCATACATTGTACTGTAATGATTTGTTTATGGTTTTCTACATAAACATTTGTTTATGCCTGTTTTTGTTCTTTGAGAGCAAGAGCCGTATCTCATATCACGTATTGTCAATTGCTGGAAAAGCGCCCTGCATGCGTTAGACACACATTAAAAGTTTGTTGCGTGAATTAAGCAAAGGATCATCCACTTGCTTTCTTCAGTCAAGGGGGCTGGAGTGATAAGGATTATCTCTCTCTTTCTCCAGGAAGCAGCCACATAGGAGGAAGTGGAGAAATGTAGGTGCATCAGCCAGGTTTCTCCACGAGCAGAACGAATAGGATGTCTGTGTGTCTGTAGGTAGATGCAGACACTGGGACGCGGTGTATTGTGCAGGGTTGGCTGTGCAGTTTGGAGGCTGAGTCCTGCCACCTGCTGTCTGCAAGCCGGGGGCCCGGGAAGCCGGAGGGGTGCTCCCTGTCCAGCCCTGAGGCCTGAGCGCCCAGAGCTGCGCTCGGGCAGGAGAGGATGGACGTGCCGAGTCCAGCCTGTTGTTGTTCTTTACGAATGAAAATGCGGTGCCGCGAGGCTGTGTCATTTCCAGAGTCGAGAGCACTTGTGGAGTTGGGCGCCGCTTCGGAGGCTTCAGGGAGGGACGTGCATGTGGACGGGCGGACAGGAGGACGGGGTGGACAGACGCGCGTCGTCGCACGGGGGTCCCCTCAGGCCCGGAGGTCGCGCAGTGTCACGTCCAATGGCCGGAAGCCGCCCGGTGCCGCTGACACCC